TGAGTAAAAACAGGATAAACATATCCAGGTCTAGTCAACTGTGACCTCCACTTACCACTCTTGGGTCTATGACTCATCTCAATGAGGCCAGATCTTACATAAGCCAGCATTCTCCAGCTGAGATCACTGGTGGTTCCCTGAGGCAAAAGCTGAGATCAGGGCAAATGCAAGGTGAGGCTTTCCTGATACACAGGATGCCTTGAAAACTCTAATCAGTGATGTTTCATCAAAAGAGTTACAACTCAACTTTTCCCATAATCCCTGTCACCGTTGCAAGAGCGGAGAGATGCAGGTGAACAGCCAGCCCTGCATCCGCTGCAGCTCCACCCTGTGTAACTTCGGCAATCAGTCAGCCCCTCTGAGCCCCATGATGTCCTTAGTAAGACGAAGGGGTTGAACCCTCCCAGCTCCAAAATGTACTGATTCTCTGAAAACTCCCTACATCTTCCTTTAGAATATGGACCTAGAACTTTGGAAGAACATGTATTACATTTCTTTTCCATCTGTCTCTATAGGGTCTCCTCAAAACCTTTCAAAATATTTGCATGTATATGTCAACATGTCTGTTTATGCTAAACCCTGGGGAAGCTGTACAATTTGGAGACAGACAGATCTCAATTCCAGGCTATATGTGAGAAACTGGAGACAGATTATTAAGATCCGGTTCCTGCCACCCAGAATAGGAAAGACAGGCATAAAAATGACTTAACGTCACAGTAATGACTTAATGGTCACAGTAACGCTGCCTGGATTCAGAAGGCTACCTATTGGAGTATTCTGGGATATGTCAAAAAGAAGAGGGGAGCTGCAATGACTCAGGCCAGTTGTCCTGACCCTTGGGCAGGCAAGGCTACACGTTTGAGGCCAACCTGGTCAACGCTGACCAAAAAAAAAAAAAAAAAATTTGGCCAGGCAGTGAAACCCCGTCTCTACTAAAAATACAAAAAAATTAGCCAGCCGTGGTGGCAGGCGCCTGTAAGCCCAGCGGCAGGCGCCTGTAAGCCCAGCTACTCAGGAGGCTGAGGCAGAAGAATGGCGTGAACTCAGGAGGCAGAGCTTGCAGTGAGCTGAGATCGCGCCACTGCACTCCAGTCTGGGCAACAGAGCGAGACTCCATCTCAAAAAAAATAATAAGACAAAACAAAATTAAAAAAAAGAGAAGGGCTGGATACAGTGACCCACTCCTGTAGTCCCAGCTCCTGGGGAGGCTCATGTAAGAGGATCCCTTAAAGCCAGAAGTTTGACCCTGTAGTGTGCAATAGGCGTGCCAGTAAATAGCCATTGCATGCCAGCCTGGGCAATACAGCAAGACCCCACCTCCAGAAAAAAAAGTTTAGAAAACAAGAGAAGAGTTAAAGGATACAGGAGGAGTAATGCTGGCTGTATTCGGGTGGTGAGGAGATCAACAAGGCTGGAGCATGTGCTACAACCTAATATACTCCTCCCACCCCCCTGATCCCCATGAGAGCATGGTCTATGTGTTGGGGCAACATCCTGGAAGAAGGAAGGAGGTAATCACAAGTCACTGTCTCAGAACTGTCAGTTACTCTTGTTTTTTTTCCAATTAGAGACAGAGTCTCGCTACGTTGCCCAGGCTGGTCTCAAACTCCTGAGCTCAAGTGATCCTCCTGCCTCGGCCTCTCAAAGTGCTGGGATTACAGGCATGGCCCAGAGTTATTCTTTATTGAGACCCTGTGCACTTCATACCCATCACAGTAGAGTTTCCTGAAGTGTGCTACACAAGTCACTGAGACATGTCAAGTGACTTTAGATAGAACACAGAAAAACTTTTTTTTTTTTTTTTGAGACAGGGTCTTGTTCTATCACCCAGGTCAGTGTGGCATGATGATCACAACTCACGGCAACCTCAACCTCCTGGCTCAAGCAATCCTCGCACTTCAGCCTCCCAAGTAGCTGGAACTACAGACACACACCACCATGCCTGGCTAATTTTTTTAAATTTTGTTTTGTTTTGTTTTGTTTTGTTTTAGGCAGAGTCTCGCTTTGTCACCCAAACTGGAGTGCAGTGGTGCAATCTCGGCTCACTGCAACCTCCGACTCCCAGGTTCATGCAATTCTCCTGCCTCAGCCTCCCAAGTAGCTGGGATTACAGGCACCCACTATCACGACCAGCTAATTTTGTATTTTTAGTAGAGACAGGGTTTCGCTATGTTGACCAGACTGGTCTTGAACGCATGACCTCAGGTAATCTGCCCTCCTTGGCCTCCCAAAGTGCTGGGATTACAGGTGTGAGCCACCACAACCACAAATTTTTTGTAGAGGCATTTTGCCATGTTTCTCAGGCTGGTCTCGAACTCCTGGGCTCAAGCAATCCACTCTCCTCAGCCTCCCAAAATGTTGGGATTACGGGTGTGAGTCACCGCACCCGGGTGAGAAACATTTTTATAGTTACGATTTTATGTTTATGTCTACCTTCTATTTGTGGCAGGTAGTGTTAGTTTTTATTTACAATTATGTTATAATGTTTTCTTTCAAATAAATGTAAGTTTTTAAAAGTGACTTAATTTAAAGAAAAAGTATTTATTAAGTAAACAGACAGTTGGTACATGGATATTGCAAAAATTTCAAGGCGGGTACACGAATGACTGAAATTCAGGAGACACGGGGA